AATTAGTGCAAATAAAAAATAAAGAAAGAACAAGGATTGAAAAAAAGGCAAATATTGTTGCAGAGAGAAATGAAGAATCGCCTTCTCCAGACCAACATAGTAGAAGAACGTTCACATATGATTTTCTTTTTGAATACTCTATGTATCAGTCCACAGGTTGTTAAAACTGTGTTTAATAAAACTGGTTCCACCGGTGTTGTTTTCGAAGGTAGAAGAGGAAATGCATGCAAAAACTCGTTACTTAATGAATCTGTCAAAGAATCAGTTCGAGAAAATATAAAGTCCTTTCAGACAGTTAAAAGTCATTATTGCTGAAAAAATACATCACGTTTGTATTTACCTGTAGCCCTTAATATTTCCAAAATGTATTCTATATATCAGGAATACTGTTCCGACAAGAATATTACTGAAATAGCTACTGAAAGTATATACAGGGCAGTCTTCAGGGCAGACTTGTGCGATATTTGCCAAGGTTTCCAACAATCTTCTGCTGAAGAGAAATTAGCTGCTGAGAAAACGTACCAACTGCACTTGAAAAACAAGAATTCAGCCAGAGAATTCAAAGATGCAGAAAAAAAGAGCTGAGGAAAATCGACAGATTTGTGTTGCAGTTTTTGATTTACAACAAATACTTCCGGTCTCAAAGTCGGAAGTTGGATTAGCGTATTAAAAGCTAAAATTGTCAACTTATAACTTTACCATTTTCAATCTGGATAATAAGGAATTCTATTGTTATATGCGGTACGAGACCATTGCCAAGAGGGGGTCATGTGAAATTGGCAGTTGCCTTTTGAACTTTATAAAGCGTAATATTGAACAAGGCAAGAATGATTTTTTTTTCTGACAATTGTGCCGGACAAAATAGAAATAAATACTTATATTCGCTATACAATTACATTTCTCAATTATATAAAGTAACAATATGTCATAGCTTTCTGGAACGAGGGCATACACAAAATGAGGGAGATAGTATTCATAGTGTGATTGAAAGAGCATCCCGTAATATCCCAGTCTATTCTCCTGAACAATGGTATACAGTTGTCAGAACTGCACGAAGAAGAACCCTTATAATGTCGTTGAACTGTTTACTGTAACAAATTAATAATTCTACAAACTCGGCCAGACTATCCAAATATGTGTCTGTTTAAATATAATTTTAAAGATACTCAATTTAAAAAAATTGATCTGACCAAAAAGGGTAGAAAGACAATCCAAATTAACATAAAAGATATTGAACTGAAGCCAAACTATACTGAAAAAATTTCATTAGCGAAAAAGAAATACGACCATTTGCAATTTCTTTGCCAGAAGAAAGTTATTTCATGTCAATATCATGACTTTTTTAGGAACCTACCTTATGTCGAAAAAAGAGCAGCCCAAGATTCAGATAGTGATGCTTAAACATAACATGATTGTTTATTTTAGTTCTTGACTTTAAGTTAAATTTGTTCAATTTATTTCCTATTTTGATCCATCTCTTCGTTTTTTTACCACTAATAATATTGTTTGTCTTCTTAACCCATTTGAACCTACCGTCCTTTATGAAGGCCTGCAAGTTTAATGAACCATTTAGTCAACTTCAACCTCTCGCGTAAAGATGTCACCACCGGCCATACAAACGTGGCCGTGGACAAATCTAAGTGAGTTATTTCTGTTTTGTTTCAATCAGAACTGTTATATTTTATTGAAATGTTTAGATGATATATCGAGCTATCATTTAATATGATGAAGAACAGTTTCATGTGTATTCTCATGCCTGTACATGAGCTCAAATTGATATGTTCTTTTAAACGGTCGGTAGGATAATCGGCGTCTATTTCATTTCATGAGGATTTATACTTTTTTTCTCGTCTCTTCAATTTTTTGTACTGGAAAAAACCCCTCACATTAGCGGAGCTGATTGAAGAAATAGAAAAGGATAATAATGACCTTCCTGATAGTATCGTAATTTTTCCTCCCGAAAACGCGAATGATCCGATTACCGATGAGGACTCTGGCGAAGAGGATAATGTTGTTATTGATAATTTGCCCGGAAGCCAGTTGTGGGCAGAGTCCCAAGTTGAAACAAGTGGTCAATTTGATTCAGATGACGATAGACCATTATCAGATTTTGTTGTACGAAAGCCGAAGAAATTAAGAAAAATCATATATTCGAAGGGGGACTTGAAATCAAACTTCTCGACATGGATATCAACTGTAATCCTAAAAAATCAACGATCTCCAGCATCGTATTTCAAACTATTTTTTGATGATATCATCGATCAGATCACAAGGTATAGCAATACGTATCCCCAACAAAAAACGCTGTGGCTGACATAACAGGAAATGAAATGTTTTGTTTCATTGGTGTTTTACTGCTGAGTGGATACTCTTCTGTCTCTAGAAGATTAATGTATTGGCAGAACTCTGACGACACAAATAATAAATTGAATTTTTTGAATATGCTCCAATAAAAGAGAACCATAGTAAAGATGAAGCTATGGTGCCCTATTTTGGGCGTCATGATTGCAAATAATTAATCCGAGGAAAACCTATTCGCTGGGGGTATAAGTTTTGGGTTGGGGCAACAAGACTTGGATATATAGTTTATTTAGACCCATATCAAGGGTCTTCTACGAGTTTACCATTACAATATAATCATTTAGGATTGGGATCCATTGTTGTTCTACAATACGCAGATGTATTGCAAAAAATGTCATTCGAACCATTCCACTTGTTTTTTAACAATTATCAGAGGCGTAGCTACCGCCGTATCAATTATACGAGGCCCCCAAACCACGAGAGCCCCCAACGTGCGTAAGCAAAAATTAATAAAAACTTCCAAATTTCATTTTACTCCTGAAATGACAAGATTGAAAACAAACAAATTGTTTTTTCCCGTTCAAAAGTAGGCAACACCCTACATCGGTTATTATCGTTGGCTGCGGGATTTCCCCGTTTCAGTCATATACTTCAATGGGGATGCCCCGTAAAATAATATGTCTAATCTGCATACGAACCACGGAGAGCAGTGTTTATTGAAGTGTTTAATTCAATTGTGCGTTACTTTGTAATACAATACAAACAATTTGTTCTCCCGATTAAATAGTGTTAGTAGAGATTTATAAAAAAAAATGAGTGAAAGGAAAAGAGATTATAATTATCCCAGCGAAGATACGAAAAGAAAAAATAAACAGAAAAGGGAGGTCATAAAAAAGTGCCCAAATTTTTTTCATGTTTTCAGGCACCTTCTGTAAGTGATTGCAAAGGTAAGTATTATCCCTAAGTAAAAATTTTACTATCCAACCCATTTATCTCATCTACCTGAGGGATTACTATTAATATTTTTGCGATAGCGATTGAGTTTCCGATGATTGTATTCCATAGTAAAATCATTTACAATTATTCGCAAACGTATTTTGGTTTGTTCATTTGAATAATTTTACTATAGGCAGACATTCGTCGGAAACTCAATCGAAAAAAAATAGTAACCCCCCTGTACCTAAAATGGGAGATATACTTTAAATTTAATAGTTAATCAAAGAGGATATACTTCAAAAATTAACCTATAGTTTTTTCTTGATATTCGGTTAGATTTTGCCTTAAAAAACAACTTTTTGTATGGTGACTGCATAAAAACCTATATTTATGAAGATAATTCAAGCTAAATTTGATTTCTCAACTTAAGGTCTCCCTAAAGTGAGATATACCAACACTCGCGGGAATTGTGTTGCCTTCTATTTAACTCACACTTTCTATCGGAGAGTGTGTTGAAAAAACTTTCGTTCGAAACAGCAATCGAAAATTCAGTGAATTTTTGACTTAGTCAAGACGTTGTTCGGAAAGTTCTTTTCAGCACTTTCAGAAAATAAATAAACTTTTCCCCTCACGGAAGGGGTTTACAACTTACCACAACTTATTCAAGTTATTTATAAGTGTGGTGGAAATTGGATTCACAAAGAAAGATCGTAGAAATACTTGTAAATAAAACACAAGGTCACTTTTTAGTTGCTATCAGAGCTAAACGACTGTATTCGGCGGCTGCCAGCAGCGAACTACCTGTTTCTCGCACGATGGATTCTTCAAAACTAATTATCTCCTGAAAACTCTTGCTTAAATAGCATAATTTTAATGTATACAGAGCTAGGTAGGTATCTTTTGTAACTAACTACCTACCTCATTATGTTTGCTCAGTGCTCACAGACTAATGGAGACAACTAGCCCGAGAATGACGTGAGACAACCAAGTCGACGTATGCGTCTACGAAAAAGGGACACAAGATGGCCGTCTTTGTCGCTTCTGTGTGGTAGGTATTCTCGGACTAAACCCAATAACTAGTAAGTAAAACCTTTGTATATAGACTAACTATTAGTAACTATACCTAATAAAAGTGACCTGTTTATTTACAGGTAAACGATAACCTCAAAATTTTCATTCTAAAAAAAAATAATGTCAACATTATTAAGACCAGTGAATTTTTCATAACTTGTTTGATTGTTACCCTACTTTCTACAATACCCTAGATTATTTTTTCAGATGACTATTGAAAACACTATCTAAATACTTGATGAGTCAATTGCATCAAATGTTCCATCTGAGGTAAGGGAAAGAAGACTAAGTAGATACAATTTTAGCACCACATTTTCAGTGCACTATACACACACTTTCTAAAATGCTGATACATGTGAATTTCAACAATTTGATTACGAATTTGAAATTTCTGTCTTTCATGTACATTAAATCTTTATAAGGAGAGTCGTAATGCCTACTTCTTACTTAGGATTGTCTTTTTTGAAATCAGAAGAATTTTGTAGTTGCAATTCATGGGCCTTGTACTACTCATATCTTTGTCAGTTCAAAACAGCATTATGATTTTTTTTATCTCTGATGTTATCTAAGATTTTGATTTATGATGTCTACAGTTTTAGTATTCATAGTCTTGCTAGTCTCAGTTATTTTCGTATGTAAAACTAAAAGCATCAAATTGAGATCTTCAAAGTATTGTGACTTCTACTTTTTCTAAGAACATATGTTGGCTGTTCCAGGTACATTACAGATATAATTAACCTTCGTGATAAGGAATACTCAAACTGGCACAAACTATGGATTTTTTTGGTTAGATTCTTGCATAAAAAAATCCATAATAAAATGGATCTTACTAATCGCCTGTTGAGAGTTGTAGAATTTGCTTTTAGAAGTCCGTCTGTCCAACAGAGACTCCGAGGATATGACTGCTGGAAGGTAAGAACTTGATGAAATATGGATTTTCAGAAGGCTTATTTGAGTTCACAAAAAAAAACAACTGATTCAGGTGGGAAATGAATTAGTGGGTTCACAGGAAAACTATATTTTCTGTCAATGTATCTATTTAGATTTTATTCTTTTCAGAACTCTATAAAGAAATAAAAAAAATTGCTACCGCACCAACACTCTAATTATAACTATAAAAATAACAACAAACTTAGCTTGGTAGTTATCATACTAGGTGCTTTCCTTTCGAGAGTATGCTGAATTGGAGCTTCTAATTCTATACAATGAAATTATATGTCTCTGCAGCTCATTTTCATAAAGAAAGTTTGTAAGCATGTATCTTTGGCTGATAGTTGCTACAAATATTTTTACAGTTCAACATGTGGAAGAGAGACTCTAATTTCACACAAGCTCATCGAATCTTTCTGAGGTTTCTAAGCTATAATTTGGGTAAAAAAGGAGATATCCTGTACATGATGGAAAACTGCCTCATTTTGTTTGAAAATATAATGTTGTTTTCCATTTATGTGTTTTAAGAAACTTACAAATTTACATACATTTTAATTTTTTTAAATGTGAAGGGGTAATTTTGAATTTCAAGAGTATACCTTTTTTCCTATAAAAATGCTAATATAGTTTCATTTTCTATTTCAGTAGCTTTGATTTTATTTTTTTCACTGGAACATAAAATTAAGCCACTTGTTATATACAGTTTTTTTAAGGAAAAGAGGTATTCTTTGATATTAAATTGTTAGATCATTGATTCAGAAAAATATACAGAGTTTCATTCAAAATTCTTCACTTGGTACAATAAGTATTGAACTGAAACAGATATTTAGTTGATTTATTGTTGGGAATATCGATCTCATTGAAATATATCTATATTCCAAATATAAAATTTCCAACCTTACAAACAGTTGAATGTTTCCAAGTACAATGATCTCGTTGTCACCCAGTATAGGAAAGAAAATTCAAATGCATACATAATTAAGAATATTACATGTTAGGGAGATCAATTGATAATAGTTTGCAAAAATTTAATAATGTATCTAAACTCTTCCAGGTAATATTCTGACCAAAATAAGTTTTGAATTCACACAAATTATGATTTTTCTAATTGATTGCTTGGTTTATAAACCTTATCAACTAGTGGAGAAAGTGTTATGAATCGAAATACATGTGAAGTATCTAATTCTCGTGTTTGCCANAAATATAGAAAATGAGAATTTCTTTCCATTCAGTTTTGCTTCCAGGCATCTAGAACAAAAAAAACACTGTCAACAGTTTATGTAACCGTCTACAAAACTTATCACACCATTTAATAGATGTGACTTAATTGTGACTCTTTTACGCTATGGAATTAATTACATTAGATAAATTAAACAATAAACAATGAAATCGACAAATTGATTTCCAACATATATTAGAAATATATGTACTCTTGTTCTTTACAGACAATGAAAGCAAAGCAAAAGCAGAACGATGAAACGTTGCAAGGTGAGGGATTGGGGGACGAATATATGGATGACTCTTCTACATCAATTAATGAGCCCCAAGTAGATACAGACGCAGAAATACAAGCTCCTCCAGTCAGGAAAAGAAAAATAAAACCTTCTCAGGAAATGCCACTCTATGTTCAGCAAGCGATGCGACAGCTTAGTGAGAAAGATGATGAGGAACAAGTGTTTGGTGATTTCTGTGCCTCAGAACTGCGACAGATCAAAAACCCTGCTAATAAACGTATATTTAAACAAATTGTTATGGAAGCGATTACAAACATAGGTGAAGCTGAAGCGCTTGGTTTAGTTTACAAACGTTTTAGGCCCTTACACTTTCATTATCCCCAACCAGCTGCGCGGTCTACCCCGTCTCCTTATGGCAGCGACGGCTCTTCGTCGTCTTATCCACCACAGTACCAAGTGCCATATTCGCATACTCAACAAATGGACCAGCAGGAAGAACCAGGACATAAATCTTCTTTGTTAACAACTTTGTTTTAAACTTATTGAATTTATCTTTTATGCCATATTTTATATTATTCTTCTTTTTCCTCTATGACTATCTGGGATTTTAGGACATTTTTTTGTTTAGCTATAGTTGTATTGCTTTGTAACAGAAACATCAATTCATTTTTCACATCCTTTTGCGAATAAAGTTTATACATCGAAACCGGTAATGTTT